GAGTGTTAAAGGGGACCACTTGAAAACAAAGTTTTTATTTGTACTATATCTGAAGCCTTTCTTCTTTTAATGCTGCATGCATTTCAGTCTAATGCATTATTTATTTTACTATTAACTTTGCATTAATTTACAGTCACATAATGTTTTTGGTCAGTTTTATAGTGTTGTAACAGATAGATATAAAATTACCCAGTATGATGCAATATACAGATCCCAATGTTAGTGTGTGGTATAATTTGAGAGTTAACTTATACCAGCAGAGGACTATATTGTCCAATAAGATATTCAACTTTGTTCAAAAGATCCTCCTTTGTAATGCTAATAAAACCAATTTTGGACATTGAGTGTGATGAGATTTTACATTATCATCTTGAAAGAGTTCTATTCCATCGGTGTGAAAATGCAGAATTGAGGTTAACATCATAAGCAAATGTATTTTATCTTTCTTTTTTTTTTCTAAAGGAATGAAATGACACATTATCTGCTGAGAGATTACTTCCTCCCAATACCAATTATAATATCTGCAGCAGTTTCTACTGTCAGAATAAGCCAGAAAGAAATTACCCTCCATCATTATTGAAAAAAGGTAAAATGTAACTCATCTAGTAATTAGTCGTACACAGTTTGAACCTGTAAGCACCGCTGAAGCCATGCTTTTCTTTTTTTTACTTCTGATAGAGATTGTGTTGAGACTGTTTTGTAATATATTTTATCATATGGTTGGAAGTATTTGAATTCTAACCACTGTTGAAAGTATTCAACTCATGTGGTCTGAAATTTATTGTATTTTTGTTCATTTTTATATTTGGTGCCTTAAGTAGCCATAAAAATAAAAATCTGATAATGATGTTTCTACCAGACAGACACTTGCTTTTCAGCCATCTTAAAAGTTAAACACTTCATCTTGTAGACTATTACCATGAAATGATTACATCTAAATTTCAAAATCATGTTGATAAGTTTCTACATTATTTGAATAGTTAAATTCTAGATATTAGACTTACTGTTGAACAAGGTCATGATTCAAAGTTGCCAGCTACACTTTAATACATAATGAACAGTTTTGTACCTATACAGAGCTTAAGTGCATTTGCATTTATGCCATCTGCTGTGTCATGAAGAAATCAGGGTGGTTATTTAAGAATATTTGCATTTAAAGGGACTACTGGGATAGTAAGTTGTGATGTATATCTTTAATTCTTTGTCACAGTGTAAAAGTTAATCTCATTAAGGCTGTTATATAGATCAGATTTCAACGCCAAAATTAAAATTTGGGTTTTTGAAAGCCTATGCAAAATTAAAAGCTGCAGGAGTCACTAGTCTAACACAAGTCAAAATGAAACATTAATAAAAACTATCAGCAGTGATAAAATCCAAGTGTGTTAAAAATGCTGTTTCATCATATTAACATATTTAATGGGAAGATTTTTAGTACTTTTATGGTTAAACATTCAGTTGACTGCTAGAATTATTTGCTTCTTTTTATTTATTATCTGCAAGTGATGGTTTAAAACTCAAAATGCATGTTCAGTAATTTCAAAAATGTAGTCTGAGCTTAGTTCTTTTATATGTAATTTAACCTGTTTTTGCAGAAACAAAAATTAGTTAGCTATGACCGACTGAATTTGAAAAGTTGAGAAGGTAATTTTGGCCAGTGATTCTCATCCTAGGTCAGGACAACTGTGACTGTCATCATCTCAATATGTATGCCTTTATTATTATGCTAAATAACTAAGTGCACTTTGAGGTGCAAAAGGTTGAGAAACCCTGAATTTGGCAATAGTCAATACAAGAAGTATTTAACGATGAATATCTAATATTCTATGTTAACATGACTGTTAAGGAAAGAGAAATACAAGATCAATGCTTCAGCAGTGATATTGATTTCTTTGTATTTTCAACTGGTGTAACTCTGGTTATGGCTAATGTTTGTTTGCTTGACGATAACTAGCTAACAATGTCCCCAGGAATGAGTACAATAATTTTGGTGCTAAATTACACAGTCTCTAGTACTCAGATGAAGTGATACCTTGGACTACCATTAGCTCCAAAAGCAAATACTGATTTTGGTGAGTGATACCCGATATTGTCTTGAGGGGAACAGAAAAGTTGGTTTTGGTGACTGCTTTGTGATGTTATCTTGAGGAACAAAGATGTTGGTGACTGCTATGTGATACTGTCTTGAGGAATGAACAAGTTGGTTTTGATGACTGCTAGTAAATATTGTCTTGAGGAACAAAGATGTTGGTTTTGGTGACTGCTATTTGATACTGTCTTGAGGAATGAACAAGTTGGTTTTGATGACTGCTAGTTAATATTGTCTTGAGGAACAAAGATGTTGGTTTTGGTGACTGATATTGTCTTAAGGAATGAACAAGCTGGTTTTGATGACTGCTAGTTAATATTGTCTTGAGGAACAAAGATGTTGGTTTTGGTGACTGATATTGTCTTAAGGAATGAACAAGCTGGTTTTTGTAATTGTCTAAAGAAATGAATACAATAGTTTTTGTTACTGCTATATGATATTGTCACCTATAATTTACAACATATTAATTATAGCTTACTGACATTGTTTCAAGGAATGGGAAAGATAGTTTTGTCATTGTTATATATTGCCACCTGTACTTAATTATAGCTTACTTAATTGTCTCAAAGAATGAATAAGATGATTTGATAGCTAACAAACACTGTTGGCATTGTACAGAAAGTAAAACTATCCATGGATTAACATATTTTTCAAGAGATATCACCATATACATGTACTTCTTTGCTGGGATTTCTGTAAAAGATGTGGATACTACAATTCACTCTTGTAGATTGAAAGACTTACTTCTCACACTTCGGTTCAAAAATTGTTCTTGACAAGTCTGATTTAAAAGTTTCAAACGATGTACTTGTTCAGTGTCTTTTCAATTGGTGATACTAGTCTGTTGTGGGTTCTGTATTTCCGTTTTAGATTATTCTGTACCTTATCTTACTGTATTTTTAACATGAGCTCAAGTATTTCTCTATGATGTCAGGAGAAAACAGTTTTTGATAATGTTATATTTGGTAGGAGTAAACTGAAGCCCATCAAAATATAATATATACATATATTTTAGACATAAAATATAAGGTACTTGGTGGTTCTATGTACGATAAACTGTGATAGTTAAAATGATATTAATTTAATTTTGCTTTTATTTTACTAATTTGCTCTTTCTTTATATTTTCAGAAATACCAAAATGTTTCTCTCTGTCAAAAATAGGTATTTCCATAAAAATAATGAAAAGTGTGGAAGCAAGTTTGTGTTACGGATTTGAATGTACTGTTAGGACTAGGGATGCACGAGTAACCGGCTGGGTATTGGGCTACCCAGGTAATACTTGGCTCCAACTGAGTGTTGAAGTTTGGCATTTAAGCAATAATCTTTGTGGCAACTAACGAGGTACTGAAAGTTAGTCAATAATTGGTTTAGTTATAAACAAAACGAGCAACAAAAATTGACCGCCTGCTTAAAGTCAGTGATTCAGAGAACAATAGGGGTTAATAACAGGCATGGTTTGAGAAGTGAATTTCTGGGGAAAGTGGAGGTTTTGAGAACATTAGGGGTTAGGGTTTGAGAAGTTGGGGCTAGGCATTGAAAGTTGAAAGTAAAATTTGAATGTTCTGTTGGTGATTATTCGGTTAAATGTAATAAACGTAAATTTTGTTTTTGTTGCTAAGGGCAGGTAGAGATGGAGAGACTTTTTGAGAGTGGCTAGGGGTCGAGAAGCCCAGGTGCTATAGGAGTTAGTTAGTTATCAGAACCAATGTTCCACGCCTCAACCATTTTTTCAAGGTTATGAAGTGGGCTTTGACAAGATCTTCAAACTATCCTATATATTTTCATTTTGGTGATATAACCCCAAATTGGCTTTTCAATTTAAAATTGCATTTGTCTGGCAAGGTGGGAAATAGGGTCTAATCCTATTTCTGCTTAGTCTTCACTTTAGAAATTTCCCAAACATAAATATCTATGAAATGGGCATTGGGAAACCACTAGGGAGGCATGGTGTGCTTTGGGCATGACAGCCTTTTTGCAATGTAAACTGTGCTGCAGGGCTATTGTTAAAATGCACAGTTATGACATGGATTGTAATGTGTAGTGAGGCTCCAAAATTGTTTTAATATAGTGTACACAATCCTCTATTTTACTTGTACATTTATGATTTTAAAAACAAATTGTCAGTAATTTCTTTACATATCTTTCAGGAATAATAAGAATATTCCAAAGTTTGATTACTTCTAGAAAGTAACCTTTCCAAGCAAGAATAATCCTGTGTAAATTCAGAATTAAAGAAACAGAAGAACTCTAGCACAACTGTGGGAAAAAACATGAGATAAATAAGATGTATCCTGCTCGAAGAAGTTTTACCTGAAATGATGAAATGTTTAGTAGTAGATTTTCTAAAGAACACTTTAATAGGCTAAAATAATGGATTGTGTTTTGCTTTGCAGTTAAAACTACCATCAATTTTCATCTTTCATGGTTACCCATTTTTTCTAGTACTAAACATGTATTAGTATTAAAATGTCGTAAATAAGAATTTGTTTTATACTGAACAAAACTATTCATCACTCAACAGTATTGAAATACAGAGATGGAAGTACACCAAAAGACTTAAGATTTGAAAAAGGGTGAAAAGTGTAGATGTAAAAAAAATCATTTTGGTTAGGGGACAATCAGACCTCCGAATTTACAGTTATCTATAATGAATTGTCAAAGCAACATCCATAATATTGTTTCAAAAAAATTAAGATCTCAAATCATTCATAGATGGAAAATTCCCACCAAAGTCCAAAAAACTAAAGTAAAAAAGAAGAAAAAAAATAGAAGCACCAGATGTAATTTCAAGAGAAAATTATATGTTCAACCTAACTCAATGCCTTGTGGGATTTGTTTACACAGTCATAGAACATGGATAGTTTTTTAAAATCCCATAAAGACAAAATACATATTTTTCTCACTAGATAAACATAAAATGAAAGTATTTTATTGACTTAACATTTAATAAAACTTTTACAGTTATTCATTACTTCATCAATAGAAAATATGGCATAACTATCCAACTGCAATGAAACAATGTTGTCAGTGGCTAAATATAAGCAATCAAATTTATGCTGAATTTGTTTGAACAGTTATGAATAATAATTCTATTACTTAATGAATATGTAAATAAACGGTTTCACTGAATTTTACTTTCACACACATCATTTTACTAGATTCATATTCCTCTTTTTTTTTTTACTTTGCCCCCAAACAAATAATTATTAACTACAGCTGTATATTTTCTATTAACTAGTCTATATTAACACTTTAAATTAACTAAATTAGTAATTATTTTTCAATTAATTTAGAAAGGAAGTGACACCTCTAAATAGTGTGGCTTACAGATTAGCCACAATTAACATATGACTAATATAACAAAGTATTGTTTTTTTTGCAAACTTCATGTGCAATACACCACTTAGAAGAATTACTGGTTAATACAGCATCTGTTTGCTATTCTTGTTTCAAAAACTGCACTGGTCCTGATAACTTTTGGATAAAAGGATTCACAGAATTTTGGATGCTGATTTAATATGTCATAAAACTTAATTTAGCAAATTATTTATTCTTTATCCACTAAAAGTCAAAATTTGGAGGATGTATGAGTGTCTAAACATAAAATTTATTAAATGAATACCAGTAAGAATAATTCTTTTACATTTCATAGTTGTTACTATCAGAAATCCCACACCACTTTATTGAATTGATTAATGTAATGACAAGGACACTGATAGTTGTTTTTTTTTTTACATAGGTATAAAACTTTTCAGTCATTTGTACAGAAATTCAACAATCACACATTCACCAACATCATTTAGGCTTTTTCAACTGATTTCTTCTGTGTTGAGCTAATTTGTGTACTGCAGCTTCCCAGTCAGAACGATACATAGTGTACAGCCGCATAGCCGCTTGAGCATCTTGAACCTGTGTAAAACAAAACATTAATTAGTACAAGGATTACTGCACTGTTAGATTTATCAAGACACAAATCTCTCAAACAAATACTATAAGGTACACCTATGGAAAACAAGTTTTATTGAATAACAAGAACTATGTTGATTTTACCTACTTAGTTTAAACTTGAAGGAATACAAAATATTTCAGAATGACAACCCATATTAATGTTGTAAAGTTCCATTTTATGATCATGTAAACCTTCTATTCAAGTACGGCTATTAAGTAACCCTCTCCACACATGCTCAGTCAATTTGACCAACAACTTGACTTCTTTGTACTCGTGTAGTCTTTATAGATTTAGAACTTCTAACTTTCAATATAGTGTGTATAACTTCACAAAATTTGGCAGTCTTTCAGTTAACATTATAAGTATTTCACATACAAAAAACATACTTTTCAGAGAAGTATTTTTAATAAACTAAAATAAAGATTTGTCCATGAATACATTGAGTATTTGTTTTGAATAATCCGTGTGCAAAGTGATTTTCATGTTAAGATTAAGAATACTTTTCTTCATCTCAAAAATCCCAAATTTCATTTGTGTAATCTCCAAAACTTTATAACTGATCTGTTATTTTCTCTACCCTAACTCTATACAAGATTGGTCAATTTGACTGACCTCGTGACCACCAAAAATAAATCTAAATTGCACTCTTTTTCAATCTCAATTGGCTTCAAATGTAGCATGAAGTTACATTCATTTATCCTAAGTAGCTTTAAACTCGTAACAGTATACATCTATTGTTAATTAAATCTTATTGTTTCATTGTCCTTTGAACCATGTCTAACTACTATTCATGCCATTATAAGTTGTAAATTACTTGGGGAATGTGCAGCTCACGTTACTCTACTGAATTATATTATCCACAAGCTACTCTGAGCTGCTCGTGTGCATGCCTCATAAAATTTTTTTATTAATATTATTTTACCTAATCTAACCTTAACTAACCTAAAGAGATATCTATCTTTACATTTTAGTTACTTTTATAATAATAAATGAATAAACATAAAAAACAAGAAATAAAGTACTTACCCGAGTATTCTTTTTTTATTTTGCTCCCGACTATTGATGACAGTTAACCCTACTTTTTTAAATTAATGGTAGTAGTTCATTGAATAATTTTTAATTACATAATGCACAAAAGAACATAGACTAATAATGGGCAAAAAGAAGACAATTTCCTCTAACAATCACAATTTTTCTGGCTTTCTAACTATACGACAAGAGCCATTAGAAAGGCATCCAATCTATTTGTTAACTTTCCCACAGGAATAAACCATGTATTATAAGTGAGATTGACCATTCTGTGTTCAGAACACAATGTTATACAATACGTCATTTGATAGATGAAAACTTTTGACTTTCTATACATTATAGGAAATACATAATTAAACGTAAGAGAGAACTATTAACAAATCCTGAAAGAGAGGATGTGACAGGTGGGTGTGGCAGGAGGGGGTCTGATTTTCTATTTGATAGCTCTGTAACCAAACAAAATTGAAGGCTATAAAAATTATGATTTGTCTGAGCAATGACAATTTTATAGTGAGTAATTTACCATTTATTTTCGTAGTTTCTTGGGGGATAAAATGGAGATGAGAAGATACCTAGAAAAAATGTGCCATGTGAGTCACACTCGGGGATATTCAGGATTATTTTAAATATTGCCTTATAAAAATAAGAACTTAAAAGTTATATACTATTAAAATATGGATTATTAGCTAAGATTTTATATTATAATAATTGGTATAACTTAAACAAAAAGTAGTTTAATAAAATTTTGAATGTAAGACACTAAAACCTTATGTCATGCACAGTAAAGGATACCCAGGGTGAGAGGGTTAAACAACTGTGATTTATCTCAGATGCTGACACCATCTTTGCAAAGACTTTCACTGCATTCTAGCATTTTAAAAAGTCACATTCATTCTACTAGAGCCTTATAATTTTGGAGATAACAGCTGTGTTTATAAATTTAGGAAGTTCACAACTTGAAATAAGTTTTTTTGCATCTGAGGCCATACCTGTGTTTTTTGGGGAATTGTTTCCATGCATTAAAAAATGTAGCTTTGAAAGTAAATACACTATGAAAACATAAAATGGTTTAGATAGTGTTTTAGATATTTCTATTTTGTTAAAATGTTAAATTAAAACAAACATAGATAGGTACTTACTAAAAAAAGACTTTCAGCAAATTAGTTGCCTGATCACATAGTTTATTCAACCTTCTATTATTCCTCTTTATCAGAAGCTAATGTAATTGTTTTTATTTGATAATCTACTATCATTTTAATTAGACGTGCAAACAGTACTTCAAATATACCTAAATATTCATATTTGTAAAAATGCTTTTAGTTTATATAGCTGACCTTTTTTAAAAAATAATCTTTAAATATTACAAGTGGTTGTCATATATCAAACTTATTACTACATAATTTTGTTGATACCAAATTTTAAGAAACAAAAACTAGTATTAACCCCATTTATTCCTCAACTGGTTCTAGCTGTTGGATCAATGAACTATTCTGAAATGGGGCATATCTAAAACTAAAAATCCAATCACATTATATTTGCTTATAGATCTTAGCCCAAAATTTAAGAGCTTTTAAGTATTTTAAATTATCATTGCAACTAATAACTTCCCCATTTCTTTAAATCACTTTTCTTTAAATATAAATCTGTAGTACTTTAAAAAGAAAAACGTTCCTATCATCAAAACTAGCTTGTGTAGATGACTTGCCATACAGTACCATATGATAATTGTAGCATGAACTTTTACAGTGTTATAGTATAGCTGAAAGGAGTGTACTGTATACATATTAACCTAATTACACATCAGGGAAAACCAATATATATATATTCTTCTTAATTATACTGAAAGATACACAGTTTACATACAAGTAAAAAAATAAACTGACTATGTACCAATGCATTAAAAGAAACTTCTTATATATATAATTGATCATATGTTTGTTCCTTACATTTTTACTTTGTGGTGTTATTTGTAACTACTTACTGAACTGTGTTCCCCTTGTTGGACTTTTACTCCAAGCAGACATTCTGCTAATTTCTTCAGAGATGGAGTTTTTCCATTGCACATTTTCTTGAATGGTTGGTAATAAGCAGTATCCCTGATTTTACTACGTGGATGATCTAAAAATAATACCTACAGAAATGTGTAGGATATTTAAAAGAATGTCTAAATAAAAGAGGTTATCAGCAAACAAAAACAATTGCTAGAGAGGATGATGCCAAACTTCTGCAATTCCAGTTATGGTAATAAAAAAAAAAGGGGTGAAACAAATCATGACTTACAAGTATCATGGTAGCATGTAACTTCTGCATTACCATAGCACAATATATGTGGCTCAATATCTTATAACATACTCAAGTATTTTCAGTGATGTAGCATTTGGTGGCAGGTTTATAAACACCACTTTCTGTCAATATTACATTACAGTTGAACAACTTAGTTTCCAGAGTGTATATTAAAACATATTACAATACCATATAAAAATATGCTGAAAAACATTGAACTACCACTGTGTTTCCAGTTATTTAATAGAGATAAACTATGTTTATTACACTAGGATTAGTTTATGCAATTTTTTTTCCAGCAACTTAAGCTTTGGGAAGGGCTCCTGTAGCAAGTGTGACAAAGTTATTGATATCATCGAAAATAAAGATGGTGAGAGGTTATAATTCTATACTCTGGCCTGTTAATATCAATAGTTTGTGTTTCTAATTGGTTGGACACTCTCAAACCCATAAAAGGAAACAGAGAAAATCTAAACAGGAGAATTGAAAGGAAGATGTGCCACGCGATACGGAGAAGACTGAGAATTTACTTAAAATATTTCCTTTTCAAATTACAAAATTAAAACTTAATTATTTAATTTATTTTCTTCACCAAAACGTAAATTTCAGTGAAGAAACAATGAATAGAGGTTTAATCTACTATTTGATTCGCTACTTCTACTGCAGCAGACTAGTTTTGCTGAATTCACAACTCATCAGTGCTGCTTGGAAGAGTGAAGCAAATAAATGTAGGCTCATATAGTCTGTTTGGTTTTGATGTATAGTCCTTCACTCACCACTAATGTCATATATTATCCAAACTTAAATGTAAATAATATGAATTATAAACTAAGTTTTAATGCCAAGTTATTAACATACACTGACAAAAAAAAATTATTTACATTTTTAATGTTATTAGTGTAACTCTCTAAAAGGTCACGACGTGTGCACTTTGACTGGGCTAAGATCACGGAGTTAACTCGGAACAATGTTGTACTAAGTTGACAACAAAAATAAAGGCATTGATACCGAGTCGCATTCACTGAATTTGTATTTTTTGTGGATGTTATGTTGAAGATGCTAATAAACTTATAATACAATTCCAAGGTGAAACTTCCAAATTATAGTGATAGTTCATACTTCTTCCTTTTAATTTTGGTATGATTTCTTATAGTCAGTTTAATTTCCTTTGAATACATAAATTCACTGTTTTATCATGAGTATTCAGATAATATTTTTAGCACTTTCTTATAGTGATGCTTTTTATTTCCTTCTTTTAAGTTTCACAAACCAGATTATCTTTTTGTAGTTTTTCTCTCTTTATTATTCATAAACCAAGTACTTACCTTCAGATCATGATGAACAGCATGACCAACTAAAATTCTTCCTTTTAGAATATCATAAACTTCTTTCTGTACTAAACTAAATTCTTCACCTGGGAAAAAAAATCAAAGGAAAGAAACTAAATTTCTGATCAAAATCTCTTGGTATCTAAACCAGCTTTGTACTTAACTATGCTTCCAATGCAGCTCATGTAGATACAATTAAGGTATCAAGTTTATATTCGAAATACTTCATCACAATATGACAATTACAACATACATACTGAGTCTATATTCCAAATACTTCATTACAATATGACAATTACAACACACGTACTGAGTCTGTATTCCAAATACTTCATTACAATATGACAATTACAACACACGTACTGAGTCTGTATTCCAAATACTTCGTTACAATATGACAATTACAACATACGTACTGAGTCTGTATTCCAAATACTTCGTTACAATATGTCAATTACAACATATATATATATGAACCACAACCACTATTTTCATTGCAAACTTTACTTTTGCAGTTTGATATCCTTCAGACTTTAACATTAGTAAAATGTACTAAAGCAATATTCCCTATCACAAATTCTGAAAATAAATTAATACATTTTTTTACACCTCCACCCTGTTACTTGTTTTACCTGCAATGTTAACAAATCATTATCTAGGTGAGAACAAAAAAAAACTTCATTAACTGTAGTTATACTTAGCCTCTACTTCAGTAATAGCAGATTAATTAATTCCTCCTAAAATTGTTAACCACTGCAGCTTTAGCCATTGGGGTATTTGTGTCATCAAAAGACATTTCATTATTTATAACTATACTGTATCATTTATTTCAGTGTGGGATAGATGTGATCATAAATTCATAGTACTCTGCAGTTATAACATAAAGAGCTTTATTATTCAGCATCTGCCAGATATGGAGAGTGTTGAACAGGCAAGTTCTGGTTATGAAAGCATTTTCTTACGATATTATACAGGAAAAATGTTGACACCTTGTTACTGTTTTAAAGTGCAGTATTGCTACATCATCTATAACAATAACAATTTTAAACAATAATAAATGTTGTAATAGTCATAACTTCAGGATGTAGAAAATATTTATAGATAAAGTTAAGCACAATATGAATCACAGCACAGGTGGCTAACAACTGAAGCTTGCCAATGGGAAAGAATGTAAACAAAGGCACAGCAATGCCAAAAAACTTTCAACTTGTTGGTAGAAATTAGGTGTTTAAATTCCTCTTCCTATAAATTTTGATAATTCTCAAAGTTAGACAAAATAATAAATGGATAGAGGTGCAAAAAAGTTGTATACAATTCTTAGGTCAAAGGTCATTTGGGGTCAGGAGGGGAAAAAACTACAAATCTTATAAAGCACTTGTTCTCTTTATGTGCAAGTCTGATCTTTATCAAAGTTGGATAAATTAGTAAGTGGATAGAGATGCCTGAAACTTGTTCATGATTTGTAAATTCAGCAGAGGAAAACTTTAAACTGGAAACCTTTAAAATGCTTCTCCTCCCAGGGATTTTATTTGATTCTTCTCAAAGTTAGACAAGTTAATAAGTGGAAAGAGGTGCCAAAATTTGCACAGATTTTTAGGTTAAATGTCATTCAGGGTTAGGAGGGGGCAAAAACTAGGAATCTTATTATGGATACAGGGCATTTTAGATCAGCATGATACCTCTTGTTTTAATCTTAAAGCTGATATACTGTTACTTCACAAGTCTCATTGGTTAAAGTTAATACTTACCTACCTAATAAACATAAACTGGAAGGATAGGTCAGCTTCCCAAGCCCCCAATGAAAAAACTTAATGTTATATTTAC